CCTTTGTGAATTGAGCATCAAAACGTGGGAAATAAAAGTGATAACATCTGTTTTGTTTTATGCCCTGAACCGTGATTCGAAAAACGTTCACTACAGAATATGTCAGCTTTGAGGGCGAGAAAAACCAGTATGAGGAGGAATTTCCTGAAGTCAGCACCATGAGAGTGAAATTGTCGAATGAATGAATAAATTTGAAGAACATGTCTAATCGATGCAGATGACGTTGCATTCATCGGTTGCGGTATCATGTACTGGAAATGGTCGCCTTTCTTCATCCAACAGATGCCTTCTAATGAAATGGCTTCAGAAAGCACTGCGAAAAACCACTCAAAAAATTAGACTTTATTCGATCTCGTAGAAGCTGTGCCCTTTTCATAATAATTACTCGTTGGCATAGTCTCTACTCTTTAAGAAGTTTCGAACACTCTCAAACTAACACCGCAGAGGTTACGGCATCGGAGAATAAACAATTCCTTTCAAGAGCACGTCTGACTCTGTCTTGTTCTTGCCTGTTGCACGTCGCTATTCCCGTCGACGTTTCCCGCGTTTCCGATCGCATGATCATTGAACGATCATCGGCAAGATTGGCGGGTTGTTCCTCAGCTGATATTAACGGCTGAACACACTAAAGCCAAAGTTTATTGCCTAACTGATTTTTTTGTAAATAATCTCAATCTGTACTCTGTTTTAGGGAGTTGTTTATTTGTACGTTAAAAACATGACTCTACTGATCTGAGTAGTGATATTGCCATGGTCTCACGTAGCTACGGTCGAAGCGCGTCGATGAGTAACGAATTAACACGTCTTTTTTGATACCTGATTGAAACAGCGTAATGGCATCGTCCAACAAAGTGGTGAAAATAAAGGATTTACTGCAGCCAGTGAGCAACTCGCGAGGTGTCCATAATACGAAATATCAATCAGGGGCCCATTATGCAACATATGGGACCATAGATGCATTTTGAGAGGAAGTATATGTTAGATAATAAAGGAATGGTTCTTTCTACGATCCAGCAATTGGTGCCTTATGGCCGGAGTTAAAATTTGCGGATACAGCGAACATAACAAATCGAAGGCTCTGCTAATTCAGAGCTGCTCAAGATAATGATCT